ATGCTGAAACTTACAGAATAGTAGATACTGTAACGTTTATTTTGAAAGTACGATATGACCTACTACAAACATCCAGCTAAATAGAGTAAACCTATTAAGCACTTCACGAAAGGTCGCAATAGCATTAGTGTTTCTCGCAGAACGCAGAACACAGAACAGAAAAGCTTTATTAACTTTTCGTTATTCTGTCCACTGTTTGCAGTGGACAATGTTTTTTTAAAACTGTTTCATATTTGCCTATTAAACAAATTACCCGTCGATTCTAGTTTAGTATGTGAATCCCACAAAGGCTGATATTTTCTTCTTCGTTCTCAGATTCTTCTGTCATCAAAAGATTGTTCTGTCTCACCTTCTACTTCCTCCAGCATTGAAGTAGACCATCTTGTTACTTTTCATACTAATGGTTATAAAAATAATATATTTTGTTAATCAAAATGTATAATATGATTTAATATAATATAATCATTCATATTAATAAAGTTAGTTACTTGCCATAATGATAAATAAGTTCCAAGAAGTGAAAATAAAACAATGATTACTTGAGTAACCTAGTGGTGGCGCCAAGTCTACTGCACCCAAATCTTGGTTTCTTGCAGTGAGTTCGGTGAATGTTATAAATTATTAACAATTTGCTGCCAAAAATGTACCTTTTACCTTCGTCTACCAGTAAAACGTAACACATTTTAAACGAAATTCCCTTTATAGAGTGTTATCAACTTGCAAGCAGAAATTTACCCCTTTACCACTACTTTTTAAGTTTTGTTACTTTCACCGCATTTTACGGTAATTAAATATACCTATGTAAAACGTTGACATTTCTCAGAGTACCCGGGTAAAGTAATTCCTTAGAAATAGTCCTATACCTATGTGAAATAAAAATCATCGAAATCTAATCAACGGTACAGAAGAAAAATAGCTTAAAACTATGGTACATTTAGGGCGGTGTGGTAATTTTGGAGATAGGTAGCACAGTTTCAATAATAAAGACAAAAAAATATTTAAATTACCACATAAATTGACATAAGATGCATATTTTAAAAATCTGTATTTATTTATTTAAATGCATAACCACATACATGTGGTTATCCTCAAATAAAACTAAACGATTTACCATTAATATATCATTAGAAGTATTTTGACATTACGCTCATCCGCATTGTAGATTCTGGTTAAGCACGAAATTCCATATAATTATTTGTTTTGTCATCTATCGTCCAAAGTTCAGTCGTTGATATTGACGCAGAATTCTCATGGTCACTTACATTATAAATAAAATGGGAAGTTTTATTCGGAAAGGATTGTAGGTAACACGTAAATAAACAAACAGCAGCTGACGTCTGTTTATAGTCATACAAAGTATGCTAAATACTAATATTTGTTTTATTGACGTCTCCAAGGAAAGGCCGTCGAGTGATTCTCCAATTATTTCCGTTTCCACGTCAGGCAGAAAGTCATTGTATAACCTCCAGGTGGTTATTTATATACTAAAGGAATTAAAATGTTTCAGACGATATTGAACGGCTTGGCGCATTCACCAAAACAGTGTAGTTTTTACAAATTTTAAAATCTACTATTAAATAATTTATTTGGAGTATATTTTTCTTTGTGGACCATCTTCTCTAAGAAGTAGAAGTAGATTAAAGTAGAAGTAGTATAATTGAGTCATCCCCGGAAAAAAGCCCATATGCCAAATTGCGCCTTTGAGAAAAACGCAATTGAAAATTTAACAAGTATTTTGAAAACAAAGATTAAAACTTTGAACTTTATTGAAAGCTAAAATAAAAGTATTGTATATAAACTAAAGTTACAATAAGATGTTTCAAAAGTATAGACAATTTTTATGTATATATAATTTTTTTACATTAGCTTGTCATAGGGCCTTTTTCACAGATCATTTGCGAAAGTATGAAATAAGTTTAAGAAAATCTTTATTTGGCAAATGACGTAAAAAATAAACATTAAAACAAGTTATTATTATACAAAGAAAGTTATACAGAAACTTCTTCTAGTATCCAGCATATCCATTGTTCATCTTCTTGGGACAAAAACGAAAATAGATCTCTCACGTCTTTTTCCTTCGCCGGCTTTATTCCAACCACTGGGACAGTTTGAAGAGCAATGTTTGTGTTATGTTTCATTCCTTTCCAAATGTGAATGGTATGTAATTTTCCATGTATGTTTGAGAACAAGCCAATGTTCCGTCTTTTTGTATTTCATTTGTACATACTGTTGAATGCTGAAAACAAGTCCCTTTGTTTTTGGCTTATTTAGAAAGAGTCCTTCCAAACTTTCAGTCCAATTTTTGATTAGCGTTCTGTCCATGACAACATTAAAAGGAGATGGATTTTTCCGACAATGCACTATTGCTTTCAAATATGGCTTTGCCGTCCCTATGTATTCCTTCTTTTTTAAAGATGACTTTACCAGCCCAAAATTGCGATCGCACTGGTTAAAGGAATGGCCACGAACCGGAAATATATGTCGAATATTGACGTTAAACTTGTGTGCTAGCCACATTCCAAATTTTACCATTGAAATGTTCTTATTTTGTCCTCCGCACGCATCCGACAAAAATACGATTTCAGTGACATCGCCATTAATTTTTTTTGCACAAGCAGTCATAGACGAATGAAATAACAGAATCGGCGCCTTTTTTCCTTGTCCTTCCATAAATGTATACATAAAAGACGACCCATCATTGTGAATATGTATATTAAAGAGATAACACCAAAGTAGACGTTTATAAAACTGCACTGTTACATTGAGTTTCGGAACTGGTAGATTTTGTCCATAGTCAAATTCAATAACAAGGCAACTACTGTCAGTTTTACTTCTTTCTATCAGATTCCTTCTCATTGCTATATGTCGCTTTACTTTCACATTGTGAAGGCGATAGGAAATTGCACAGGCATCGTTAGGATTAATAGATAGTTTTTGTTTACATTCTGTGCAGAAATCACATACGTCTGTTTTGGGATTGTTGAAACTGTATGAACGCAGTGACTTAAAATACTGAAAGTATGTCTTGTATTTCATCTTTAGATTTGTGCATGTCTTTTCTTTATAGTATTGTACAAAAAGCTCATACAGCTTTTTAATATTTAATTCAGGATTCTCAAAATATTTTAGTTCGGATTTGTGTTGGGAATAATGACTTTTCTTAAACGGAATAGTTTCCAAATGCTCTTTAAGCAAGTCATGAATGTTGGGAGCCAATTTGTGGGGTCTGTTGGCATGTGTCCCTCGCTTTTCTGTAAATGAATCCCCCTCAATTACCTTCTTTTGTACTACACGAATGCGCTTCACAGATACTTGAAAAAGTTTTTGGATCATGGTCCGACATGTTTTTATTCTGTCACCCTTTTGAGACACGAAATATTCCCATGTATACGCTCGTAAAACTTTTGGATTATTCTTGAGTCGTTTACGGTCCACATTAAGTTTTTTCATACACTGAGCCAACAAAGAGTCCTGTTGAGGCTTTGCTTGTAAATAAAAGTGTTGAAATAAATGTTTTTGATCATCGACACTTAAAACGGGTAAACATTTGTCCAGGCAGCATTTTATGATTAACTGAAATGACTTAGCTGCAACATCGCGACCTGCCGAGGTGACGTATATTTTACCTGATTGCCTTTTAACTTTTCTTTTTCTCGCGTCACATTAATCTTCTTACATCTTGTCAGTTTTTGTCTAACTACCTCTTCGTCAGAATCCATTTTTAAAGCTCAATAAACACACTTACGTTAACGACAAGCAAACGAACAACGGACGCGAACACAACTTTGTTAAAATGGTAGTTAAATGTTTTGTTTATCTAATGGACACTCAGGTTTGAGACATTGTTGCCAAAATTGGCCGAAAAATGAACTTTACGAATCATGCGCCGCGGATCGATTTAAATGATCTGCGTAAAAACGGCCCATAAGCTTATGGGTCTCTTTTTCGGGGGATGGACCTCAAATTACTATCTCAAGTAAAATTACTTTTAGAAATTTCTTTTGGCACATTTTGTAAAACTAAAATCAAATTAATTTCAATAAAAATAAAAAGCAACCACTTAATTCAAGTACTCAATAATAATAGTTATTAAGAATTAATATTTCAACAATTTGTGCAATTCACCTGAAATGAAAGTTGATTGTACTCGATAAAATTTGTCAAGGTAAAAACGTTTTGTATTCATAAAAAATCGACAAAAAACAAATTAACCGACAAATTTCATCATTCGAAGTTTAACTTTTAATAGCACATGACATTAATGGTTTACATATTGTGTTTTTACATTCATGGCAAAATATTATGAGATCGTGGGAGAAAGTTCTTGCCTGAAAAAATAAGTTGTTCCTTTGTATGTTGTCTTTAAGCTGGTCTAAGTCTATGTAGATATTACTACAGCTATTTCAAATCCAGTGGCGAGCCCTTCCACGAAGTAGTTAATCGCGCAGACAATAGAATAATATCTATGATCAGACCCATGCAGTGGCGTTGCAATTTATAAATATATTAAATTATTTGAAATCGCACTAATTACAAAATTATTACTCACTTAAATAATAAATGGAGTTTGATTGTACACAGATTGTGTTATAGATACCAAACTTTGTGTGTTATAATACCATCTTTAATAAATGATACTGTATAAAGTTTAGTAAAAGTTAATTTCTATGAGTATACTAAGATATCTCTATATATGGTCCTTTCTTGTGTACTGCGTTAGCTTTAATCCATTTTACTCTTGGGAAGGAATGGTATATCCATTTTATTCTGCTGTATGGCGCCCAAACTTAGACTGTTAATGTTTACTTAATAATAAAGCTGGAAGCTTTTGATATGTGGCTTTTTAGAAGACAATAAAAAAGACTATTGGTCTGTCTAAACTCAAAATATTTTTTATCATCAACGAAAAATTTATTTAATTATAAAATTTGACACAATATTTCTTTATTTCAGGTTTAAATGCGTCAGAAAAGAAATCCTTTGTATTCCTAAGGAAGGAAATGCCCGTACGATTAGCCAATATCATGAAAGAGATCGCCTTACTTCCAGAAAACCTTCTACGTATGCCCAGTGTGGTAGCAGTCAATGATTGGTACATGCAGAGTTTTCAAGAAATCATAGAATTTGAAAAGAAAGAACCAAACGCCGAAACAGTAGAACATTTTTGTAATGAATTAGTTAAGATCAGGAATAGGCATACGAACGTAGTTGAAACGATGGCTCAAGGTGTTTTGGAGCTGAAAGAATCTCACGACGTTGACCAGCATACTGAGCATAGTATTCAGTACTTTTTGGATCGATTTTATATGTCGAGGATATCTATTAGAATGTTGATTAACCAGCACAGTAAGTAGATAAGATATTTTTTATTTAAACATAATATTTTACTATTATGACGGAAAAAAGGTAATTATTGTAATAACCTTTAAAGCGGTCAATAATAGTCTAAATTTAAAATTGCGACTGAATTCCGCCGCAGCGTTTGCCGCCATCTTGAATTTAAAGGTGAGCCGTTTTTGCTCAATATCTCCGCCATTGAATGAAATTGTTACAAATGCGAGTTCTTACAATCTCTTTTTTACATTTTTTTTTCGTGCGATCGATATTTTTCGAGTTAAGGAGGAAACTAGTGACAAACCATAATTGTTGATTTATCTCGTGTATTAATAACTTTACGACATAAATGTACATAAACAAAAATGGTAGGTATTGTATTCTATACAATTTTGATTTCTTTGATTTTTTTGTGCTATAATCAACATTTAAGGTCCTACCCCTAAGCCAAGCCTTACGAGACCCAAGCAATTAACAAACCCTAGGCGCTGACGTCATCAGCAGGAACGAAACGGTTTCGTAGACAAAGGCTCAGTTTGTCGATCAGATCTGATCGAAGTACACGTATTGAAATCAAAATGGAGCCGGGTTTTGTGTGTGTGGAGAAGCTATAACCGAGAATAATGTTTTTAGAGTAAAACAACTGGTTGAAACTCTTTTATTATCAATCATTATTTATAGTGATAATAAACTCATATGATATAGTGAGTGTTTGCTCAAAAATCAAACATGCCAAAAAAGTTATGGGAACATGAGGCTAACGAAATTGTCACGAAGAAGAAGGACCGACGAATCTCGATTATCATCGTCATCAACACAATCGCCAGTTGAATTTCAGGTATCACCAACATTCGATTTTAAAAACTACTGTTTCACATGCACAAAAAAAGTCGATTCAATTGTGGAAAAAAGCGTCACATAAACTTGCGGCGATCGAATTTTCGTGTTTTCTAACCATGAATACCTGGATACTTTAAAGAACTATTTAAACGAGAGCAACCGAACGAACATCATCGAAAATTGTTGGATGATTTTACGTTTTTGCACGAAAAAATTTGCAAAGAAGAAATTGCATGAAATCGCAATTATAACAATTTAGGTCCGTACCATTGTGTCGAAAAGTTGAAAATGACCGGATATTGAACAAAAACAATTCCTATAAAACAAATCCCTGCAAGATCTTTACGCTCGCGCCTTTACCGCATACGTACGATCTTAAATATTGATATTAGCAAAAAAAATGAAAGATCGAATCTGCCCATTTTGTACCCTGTTCCTGACTTTTTTACTCCTATTAGTTTGTCTATTATCAAGTTAAACAATAACGAGCTCAAGCTATCACCCTGTCTTATACCTGATTGAATGTTGACTGCCTCCATTATATCGGATCCTATTTTTATTTTTGTTTTGTGATCAGAGTTAATATATTTTATTATCTGTGTTATAGTGGCTGTTATAGTCTCTCTGTGTAAAAGTTCAACTCATTTTGTAGTCTAATACAGTAGTCTATACTAATTCATATAATAATATAGTTAAAGAACTGGCAGGACTAAGAAAACAAAATCCCACTGGTGCACGTCTGGATAGACACGGGACTACTATAACACAGACGGACGAGAAAGTACAAGGATGGGCAGAATATATCGACGTACTGTTCGATGTTCGTGGAGCACATAAAAACTTACGTCAGAAGAAATAGGTCCACATATTACAAAAGAAGAAATATTACACACATTAAAAACAATAAAAAGTGGAAAAGCCTTGGACCTGAAATGCTTCCTATAAAAATCCAAAAAATTCTAGATGAGAAGCACATTGAATGTTTTAGTGACACTCTTGAACCAAATTTTATAGTTCAGGCGTAATACCCAAAGAGTGGTTAACGTCGATTTTTATTTTGTCTCCCCAAAAAGAAAACCGCAAGAGAATGCAGCGATTATCGCACAAGTGGCTTGATTTCTCATGTGCTAAAGTTACTACTAAAAGTCATCCATAACCGAATATATCACAAACTGGACATATACGCTAATTAATTACTATTTAACTGGGAATAAGCCACAATTAAAGATAAAAATACGTTTATTTGACGTTTTCAATTTCCACTTCGGAAATCGTTCTCAAAATACAAACAGTAAATTAAACAAATTTTGTTTTTTGTTACATAGTGAAAAATTCTTCTAATAATTTAATTTTATCTGACTCATTTATATTGATAATTCAGACATACATTATGCATTTTAAAGTAGACGACTTTAAAATGATATTGCCAATATTGTTGAGTTGCGCTCCTGGGACGACTCTACTTATAAGATAGTTCATTCGATTACATGAAATCAACTTTAACTTGAGAATTTCCGTCAGAAAAAATCATAGCATGTAATTCGTCTTTAAAAAGACGAACACATGACATGATGACAGTAAAATTCTCCTGTTAGTGATTCCATAGTAAATTATGAGGGAAAAACCAGTAAAAAAACCTCATAATACTATCTCCGACATGGTAAGTATTTGTTCGTGCATTTAGTTTACCTTCAATAAACACCAAAATTCTGATTTTTATATATGTTTCGTTATTTAAAAAAACATAAATGATGTATTTATTTTGATGTATTTACATTAATATTGTAAACAAAAGGGAATAATTAAATCCTTATACGATAGAGCCAAAATTACTTGTTCTAACGAAATATTCGTTCTTGGAGGAGAAACATTTGTTAACATCTGTTTTATTAAAAAATGATTATCCTTTATCGTTTATAAATAAGGAATTTTCATACAATCGATCGAATAGAACAGAATAACTTAGAACGAGATCCTACAGCATACACAAGGAATAATACGAGGAAATAACAATACCGTACATAAAAGGATTATCAGAAAAACTTAAAAGGATAGAAATAAATTCAACATTTCAACAACATTCATTCTATTTTGTCCAAAATCAAACCTAACAATGAACAAGAAAGGACAAAGAATTGCATTAATAAAATACCTTGTGAATGCGATCAGTTTTATTTAGGTGAAACATCAAGGCCATTAAATGTTAAAATAAGTGAACATCAATCTTATATTAAAAATAGAGAATTTGATAGATCTTAAATATGTAAACACGCATGGGATAATGAACATAGGCTTCAATGAAACAATTCAAATGTAGTACTAAAAGAAACGGATGGTAAAAAAAAATCAAAGAAGCGGCTCTAATTATGCTAAATGAGGCCAATTGGTGTCGCAAATTCCTCGGCAGAATGTAGTAGGATCTGGTTACCAATATTGAAAGAGGAAGTTATTAATAAGAAAATACCAGTATTAGTAAGTCAGTAACATATAGAGGATACATCATTTATGTTTTTTAAATAACGTAAACATATAAAATCAGAATTTTGTGTTTATTGAAGGTAAACTAAATGCACGAAGAAATACTTACCATGTCGGGATAGTATTATGAGGTCTTTTCCTGGTTTTTCCCTCATAATTCACTATGGAATCACTAACAGGAGAATTTTACTGTCATCATGTCATGTGTTTGTCTTTTTAAAGACGAATTACATGCTATGATTTTTTTCTGACGGATATTCTCAAGTTTAAGTTGATTTCATGTAATCGAATGAACTATCTTATAAGTAAAGTCGTCCCCAGGAGCGCAACTCAACAATATTGGCAATATCATTTTAAAGTCGTCTACTTTAAAATGCAAAATGTATGTCTGAATTGTCAATATAAATGAGTCAGATAAAATAAAATTATTAGAAGAATTTTTCACTATGTAACAAAAAACGAAATTTGTTTAATTTACTGTTTGTATTTTGAGAACGATTTCCGAAGCGGAAATTGTAACGTCAATAAACGTATTTTTATCTTTAATTGTGGCTTATTCCCAGTTAAATAGTAATTAATTTAAAATGCCACAAGAATATAAACTTCAGAACAATATACGCTAAGGGTACACAAATTTTATTTTCGCAAAGGCCTAGGAACGCGTGAAGCTCTTTTTTCACTTAATGTACTGATAAAAAGATGCCTGGGGTGTCAATCAAGATATATACGCATGTTTTATTCACTATAATAAAGCATTCGATAAAGTAACGACATGAACAATTAAATGAATGTCCTGATATCAAAGAAAGATTGACAACAACGACCTCAGGATCATATCAAATTTATATTATAAACAGCGAGCAAAGTACGTCTTAACGAACAGCTAGTCAGAAAAAATTGAAATTAGACGTGAAGTGAGACAGGAATGCGTATTGTCGCCAATTATTTTTAATGCCTACTCCGAAAGAGATCCTGAAAAAAGTTCTTGAGGGTAAAAGAGCTGGAATAAAGATAAATGGAGTTCTCATTCACAACATTAGATATGCGGACGACACTGTGATCTTGGCCGAAAATATTGAAGATCTTCAGAGACTGGTGACCAAAATAGCGAAGTATGGAAAAAACGTCAAGTAGACAGAAATTTACGAGAATATCGAAAACTCGAAGAAATAACGAGAATCTTCAAATAAGCGGAACCAACGTCGAACAAGTGGACAAATATGAATATCTGGGAACAATTATTAACTCCACAAATGATTACATTCAGGAGATCAAAATCAGAATAGAAAAGACTAGAGCAAATTTCAACAAAATAAGAAGATTGTAATGTTATATACAAGGGATTTAAAATTGGAACTAAGAGTTAGGTTGGCGAGGTGCTGTTTTTTCTACTTTGTTTTATGGAATGGAATCTTGAACTTTGAATGCGACATCAATGAAAAAACTGAAATCATTCGAGCTGTCGGGTGTATAGAAGAATTCTAAAAATCCGTGGACAGAACATGTCACAAACAAAAGAGGTTCTGAGAAGGTTGGATAAAGAAATAGAAATTTTAAATACAATTAAAACAAGAAAATTGGAATATCTCGGACATATTACACGTGGAGAAAAATACACCTTGGTCCAACTGATTATGCAGGGAAACATCCCAGAAAGAGAAGCATAGCGAGGCGTAGAATATCATGGTTGCGCA